GCCTGTTTATAATTTTGACCCCGTCCCAGTCACTGAGTTCCTTAAGAACCAGGAATGAGTCTTGTTCATCTTGGCAGCCCTATGGCCTAGCACTATTGAGGTCGCAGAAGTATTTGTTGATGGAATGAACCATGAAATAATAAATAAGCATAGCATTTAGAAAGTGAAAACTGCTACCTGCAATCATTTTCAACACTCCTCCCTTTCAGAGGAATCATTTCTCCACGTGGTCTACACTGATGGACGAAGTGGGCCAGCCATGCTGGTTGGAATGTCTCCCTCCTCCTGTGAGGCACGCAACCGACTGAATGTTTGTGTCCCCTCAAAGTCTGCTGAAACTCCAATCCCAGTGTGGTAGAATTGGGGGTGATTAGGTCATGAGGGTGGAGCACGGTGAAGGGGATTAGAGCCCTTAAAAAAAGAGGCCAGCTCGTGTTCTTTCTGCCATGTGAGGGACACAGCAACCCGGGAGAGGGCTGCCACCAGGACCAGCCACGCTGGCACCGTGATATCAGACTTCCAGCCTCCAGAACTGTGCGAAATAAATGTCATTCATATAAGCCACCCAGCCAGTACACTGTCACAGCAGCCCAAGGTGGCTGTGACAGAGCGGTTTCTAATACACCTCTTTGCTGCTCAGTAACAACCGTGGTTTCATTAAACGCCTGTGGAGATGTTACTCCCATTTAGTGGATGGAGCTCTGAGACTTAAATGGGCAGGTGATTTGTCAGGTGTCGTCTGCTGAGTCAGGGTCGGAGCTGATAGAAGTTAGGTGCCCTGATGCCTGGTGTGATTCTGTGTTGTTTCCAATGATGTGTCACCACTATGTCACTTGGGCAGAGTGGCAGTGTGGGAGAGAGGAGCGAGGCTGAGGGAGCGTGCACGCCTGTGGTCTCGAGAGCCAGGCACCGACGCTTGGCCTGTATTCCGGATGTCAGGTGGGGTCCGCTAGGATTCTGAGGCCATTTTGAGATAACGTGGACAAGCGTGCTCGGAGCGGTGGCAGGGCATCACAGATGTCTATATGCTGCGTCCACTTACCGGCTCCTGGCTGGTGCACAGCTGAGTGTTGGGAAGGGCACTCTGTGGGTGACGTGTGGAAATGGAGGGAGGAGTGAGGCGATGGTCAGTGAGGCCATTCATCCATGGAAGTGATGATGACATGGGCGGGACGGGAGGCTGTGGACATGGAGGAGAAGGCAGGAGTGCGGTGAGCACCACAGGGAGAATCCCAGGGCCTGCAAACAGGAAGGAGACCAGTCAAGAGCCCCACGCTGCAGGCCCGGATGACAGGGACCAGGGAGAACCCTGGAGGAGAGGGCACAGTCCTGCGAGGGAGGCGGTGCCCTTGATTTTCAGCTTGTTGAGTTTCACATTTTTATATTCATTAAGTTGCTAATGAAAAGGATTCAAAGTGGCTTATGAAAATATACAAAACAACAACCAAAATGAGGAAATCTAAACACAAGTTTGGCTGGACATCTTTTTGTGCATTCTCCGAGTCAGGCAGTGTCCTGGGTGCAGGTCGTTAAACAATGACAAACATGGTGACGTGGTCCCTCTGTCATGGACACAGGTGGCCTCGGACAAGTGAAGACAAGTGCGAGGCACAGAGGGCGCAGAGGAGCCTGGCGCGCTTAGGGAGCATGCGGACCAGGGGCCCGCCTGCAGTGTGGGGCCCGGAAGGGGCCCGATCAGCAGGAAGAGGAGGACTTGCCTGGGGTGTTTCTGGGGTGAGAGAGCGGCAGGTTTCCCCAGCTCAGCTCGTGGGAACTTCACTCTTCTGGTTGCTCAGGAAAACACCAATGGAGTCAGTCTTGACCTCTGTCTTCTCTTGTTCCCCGTGTCCAGTCTGTCAGAGACTGCCTGAAATCTGAGGACCTTCTACCACCCCCACTTTCACTTTTGGTGGCCACCATTAGGTCTGGTCTAGGGAGCTGCCATAACCTTGTGACTAGTCTCCGGGCTTCTGCTCTTAGCAGTGTCTTTGCAAGTGTGGGTTTTCCTGTTGAACGTGAGTCAATCGTGTCACTCCACTGAGCCAAACCTTCTCCAGTGGCTCCCACTCCCTCAAGGTCACCATCAAAGTCCTTTCAATGGCCTACGTGGCCTGACCATCGAGCCCCTGCCCCGTCCCCTACTGCTGTTCACTTTGTTCACCAGCGCAGGCTCCTCTCTCTGGCTGGGAGAACCCCTGCCTGGGGTGTCTAATTAGTGAGGGGTGTACTTTGGGGGGACCAGTGGGGTATACCCAACACCAGCCACAGGTACTGCTGGCATGTGAAGAACTCCAGCAGCTGATAGCCATTCGGGAGGCTGGAATAGGAAATACTTTATGCATGAGAGATAGTTATAAGCTGTAAAATCGACGGTGACCATCCTAGTGCACTTGTCTAATCATAAAGCAGAAACAACTGGAGATAGCCATACTTTGGAAGGTGAGTTGGCAGCCCACGACGTAGCTAATCACAGGTAGTTCCTGGGAGAACTTATGTTTTCCTTGGGATTCATTGTGAACGTGAGTTTTGGCAACTGCTGGACCATTTCCCGTGTTTTATTTTGCTGGATCAGTTTGTGGTCTCTGAGGCCTTACCCCTTCTCCCAGCAGTGGGAGGGTACAGTTGAGAATATGGCGGGTGGTGGAGGGAGGCCAAGACCAGTCTTACTTTCTTGCGAACACTCGGCCAGGACCTAATGGTGCTGCTAGGAAGAGCCAGTCCTGCTGGACACGTGTGAGGTGCCAGGTACAGTGCTAAATACTTTGCATAGCTCATCACACTTAATCCTCAGGAAACCTGATGACATAGATACCATTATTAGCTCCATTTCTACAGATTAGGAAACTGAAGCTTAGAAAGGTTAAGCAACTTGAAGGTCAGACAGCTGGGAATGACAGAGCTGAGCTCGAAACTCAGTTTTCTCTGAACCCCTGTGTAGAGTGGTACATTGATCCATCTTCACCCCTAATTATGACTGCATCCATTCAATCTTAAAGCACATAAGACAAGGGTTTTATTGCTTTCCACTGGTTTTGATTTTTATAAAGCAAGAAATAAGTAAACAACTAAGTAACAAATAAATACATAAATTAATGAAAGTAAAAAAATTAAAATACTTTTTACAAAACGTTTGAAGCTTGGTGTCAGGGAACAGGGGCCTTTTGGCGTTATCCTGGAAGACCTGTCAGGCCGGACTCTGCTGCGTACCGGAAGTGTGGGGTCTGAATCGGCTCCCACTGTCCCTTTGAAGAAGGCGGCACAGACCGAGCGCTCTGGCGGTTACCGGTGACTTGCCCTGAAACAGGAAGTGGACGACCCTGTCTGGTATCATTAGAACTGATCCTTGGCATGTCCTGTTAGCGTGTTGTTACTGGTTATCAGTCCCAGTGTATGCGGCACATTTATGGGCAGGCCTCTTAGTGGACATCCCCAGAGACCTGGGTGCTGCCCATGACACCTGGGACCACCAGCCTTTCCTCTGCCCAAGTGCATGTCTTGGAAGTGGGCCAGCCTGGGACCCATGTCATTGCACAGGAGCATGCACTGTGATCAGCGTACATAAAGGTTTTGTTCAAAGCGTTTTCAAAATAACATGCTTGTTGCGAACAGTTTTAATTCAAAATTGAGTCTTAAAGAAATGGCTTGCTTGGAAAATGACTGTAGGGCTGTGGAAATAGGGTGTAGCGTGGAACCTCCAGATGTCTTCTCATCATGGCAGAGGATAATAGTTACAGTGCACACCGGGGTAAACATTGGAGCTCATGGCCACAGGTGGCTGCCTGGCATTCGGGCGGCCCTAAAGCCCACCTGCTCCCCCAGGGTGGAGGGCATCAAGGTCTCCACGCAACACTTGGCCAGGCCCACCGGGACGGAAGCCCTGATGGATGCTATTTTTCAACCCAGTGCTTGTATTTCTGCAAAAATAGCTTTAGGGGAAGATTTCCAGTTGTTTAGGTGTTTGAAGATGAAGGTAAGTTCTCATTTGAGGGAATTCCAATTGCTGCAGTTTATTTGTTTAAAGAAAAATTGTTTTACAGTGATTCTGTATTTATATCTTGTCCTAGGAGACTTAAGGTCTTTAAAAATAACAGAACCCCTACTTTCCAACAGCAGTGGATATGTGGTCATCTATAACATGGTAGAATTGGAACATTGTTTCTATGCCTTTCGTAACTGATGGGCTTATCTTGATGGGCACTTTCTAAGGAAACATTCTTAAAATCAACACTTGGGCACTGACTTTCTTCAACTGACTATATAGAACTTATTAAAATCAGCAGATTTCCTCCCAATCACAATGGGTTTAAAAATAATTAATATCAAGTATCCTTCTGTGTGATGGTCATGATTACGACCATGATATAAATATATGAACTATACCCTCTGATAGAAAGCTGAGAGGTGGGAGGGCTGTACTGTCAGTAGAAAGACAGAAGATTCTTAAAAGCAACCAACTGGGAGAAAGAGCTGCTGGCCTGGAACCCAGCTTTACATTATGTCATCCAGGTGAATGCTGGGAGTGGAGTGGAGAGATCCTGGACTGTTTGAGTTTCCTGGTTCCTTATTCCCCTCTCGCTGTTTTGGATTTCCAGCGGAGACAATAAAACAAAGATTAGAAGACCTGGAGAGAGAGCAGAGCAACCTGCACTTCCAGCTTCCGTCCAGGCAGCCGGCCCTTGGCGGCCTCCTGCAGCACCTGCGGGCCCAGGTGGAGGCCGCCCTGCTCAGGGCCGCCCAGCAGTGAGTATTCGGTGGGGTGGCCCCAGCGTCCTGTCCCGGCCTCATCCTCTCTCTCAGCTCCTGCGAGTGAAGCGCTGTGAGGGGTTTAGCTGGAGAGGCCCTCAGCTGCTTGTTTTTGGGAAGTGCCCTTTGTGGGTTGTGCAGGTGGGGGTTCCTTCCCAAGTGAGGGACGGGTGTGGGTCACACTTTCCTAAGAAGACCTTCCTGCTAATTGACAAGGAGGGACCCCTCCAATAGCACAGCTGGGGCCTGGGTGTTAAGCTTCCGAGGAGCCAGCCTGTGAGGAGGTGGGGGTGGGTTTCTCTGTCAGGGGCAGTTGGGTCTTGTGTCATCCTTAGCCTGTCAGATCCACAGCCGGTCCCCTCTGAATGAGGGACGGAAACACATCCTCCTCCCGACTCCACCTCCAGCTCCTCAGCCGTGTCTGCTGTGTCTGTATAGATACAGAGCAATGGCCATTTCTAACCCAGTGGCTGCACGCTTGAGTCCCCTGGAGAGTTTTAAAATGTCGAGCTTGCACCCCAGGCTGACTAGGTCAGGCTCTCTGGCTGGGCGTGGGTCCCAGGCACGGGCACGTTTTGAAAAGCCCGAGAGCCGCTGCTCTCGTCCACCCGCTCGTGTCCTCTCCCTGGGGAAGCCTCCAGAGGGAACCTGTTTGTGATGAGTGCTGTTCGCCTAATCACAACCCAGGCCTGTTCCCACTTAGGCATAAACATGGCCACAGCAATTACACTTTATTTCCAGCTCCCAGGCGGCCCTGCCAATCACCAGACCGCCTGACTCCTCCTAGTAGGTGGACACCGCCTCATACGCTCAGTTTATCGTGGTGTCTCCCTGCATCTCAGCGGCCAAGCCCGTTGTTGTCATGTGGGCGTGTCCTGCAGCTTTGCTGGGACGGGGGCCTGGCCTGGTCATGCGCCTTATACATGTTTGCTGAGTGGCTTTGACGTGGTCTCCTTAGGGAGCAGGGCCATCCCGCCACCCCGCTTCTCTTCTTTTTTCATAGGACGTCCAGGTATCACCTGTTTCCTCTCCCTTTCTCACATGGGGCCCTTCCCAACTTGATTTTTTGCCTTTTTTTCAGTTGTTCTTTGGGGTTGGTTCTTGTCCTCCACTTCAATCTCGGGCCATTTTGAGCATCTGCTGTGTTGTGTTCCTGTTTTCTCTACAAACACTGCATAGCTGTTATTAAGTGCTTTTCATAGTAACTCAATTTTTAAAAAATTTGCATTGCAGTAAAGTGTACATAACATAAAATTTACCATTTCAATCATTTTAGGTGCACAGCTCTGTGGCATTAAATGCATCCACATTGTCATGCAGCCGTCCCCACTGCCCGTCCCCAGAACGTTCTCATCTTCCCAAAGCGAAACCCTGTCCCCATGACTCAGCACAGTGTCCTTGAGGTCCATCCACGTTGTAGCCAGTGTCAGAATGTCCTTCCCTCTTAAGGCTGAGTGACGTCCCAGTGTGTGGATGGACCACACTGTTGTCCCTAGTGAACAGGAAGTAACTTACTTAGTCCCCAGGACAATGTAGGGTATACCGTTTCATATGTTGATATCTTGTCTACATGGAGAGCTATACCACCACCATCTATACCTATGTTTGTATTTAAAGGTGTGGAAACAGGGCCCAGGAGAGGCAGACCACACAGCAGTGGGGCCTGAACTAGAGCACAGACCCGCCAGTCTGGCTCCAGTCCCGGCTTGGAACAAGCACACTGCACTGCCTCTCTGAGTCTGAACTGGCAGAGACTTTTCAATTATTGTCTATTTAGCCTACATGCGATTTGGCTGAAAAGTGATGCTTTTGTTATGGTCTTGGCTGAGTGTCTCATAGTACACGATACACTAAAATAAAGGCAGTATCGTCATGCGTTCTCACTCAGGTTACATCATGTGACATTTCTTATATTGACTGTGACTTGTAAAGATAGCAGTTCCATCGGAGGCAACATAATATGTCCCCATAGAAGCAGAGGCTTAATTAACTGCTTGTGAAGCCTGTAAACCGCTGGCTCACTTGTGAACTCTCACCTTCTCTCCTTCCTTCGCAGGAGTTACCTGTACGTTGGGCTTGGCTCTGATTCACTTTTTGAGCCCTCCATGATCTGATTTCTCTCCCTCACTACCGATGTCAGTGATAGTTTTCTAGTTTAAATTTAAAAGGCATTTTACTGTGCTCTATATCTCTGCATTGTCCAGAACTTGGAATCAATCACACTCACTCCTAAAACTGTCTCTCCCCTTGGCTTTCGTGATTCACCCGTTCCTGGGTGTCTTGCTGCCTGGCTGGGTCTGCTTCTCTGTCTCTTCTGAGCTCCTGTTCCTCTCCCTGGGTCCCTAATACTGACAATCCTCTGCTTTGGTTCCAGCCTGGCCTCTCTTCTCACGTCATATGCCCTTTCTGGGTGACCTCTAACACGCCTGTGCTCCGGGTGCCATTAATGTACTCACTTCCCTCAAATTTATGTCTCCACCACGATCTCTCTCCAGAGTGCCAACCTATAATTCAGCTCTCTGTCGAACAGCTCCCTGATCTATTACTGTTCACTATCTTTTTAGCCTAAAAATTGACTATCTTTTAAAACTACTTATTAAACTTTAATTTTTACACACTTCACTCCCCTCATCAGAAAACAAGAGACTTGAATTAGACCCCCATTTTCTAAACTCCAGTTATTTAGGTATTATCTTGGCTTTTCTTTTGCAAAATCCACCTGTTCTATTATTAACACAATTAGAAAATGACTCAAAATCAAGTTCTTTCCTACATTTTTCTAGTGCATATTAACAATTTCCTAGTTGTTAATTTTTAAAAAGTTGGCTTTCAACGTGCCAACTGCCCCCCAACCTGTGACATTTGTCATCATCAGGATTGTCTGGACTCCCCTAAACCAGGGACTGTGGCTGCAGTTCTCACAGTGGCCACCAGGAGGACACGGTGCCAGGCTGGAGCTCACAGAGCCCAGAGCCGGACAGACGGGTTTCTCCCCGGCCAGGGGCTCCTCCGAGTCAAGGGGGAATAGAACGCTTTCCAGTGAGCTGCACATTTCCTGTAGAAATAGACTGGTTGTGTCAACGTGGTAAATTTCAGTACTAATTAATAACACAAACAAGTGCCTCCTGACCTTTTGGGATCAAGTACTTATTTCTTTGCGAATCTGGTGAAAGCTGCAGCCTTCTTCCATCACCAGCCACTTGAGTACACGCGTGCAGGTGGCTGCGTGCTGATTCAGGACATGGTCAGGTGCGCTCAGCCTTCAGGGGGCCTTTGGATCTCTGGGAGAAAATTCGGTTTAGAATAAGATTTAAGGAGATGTAAACACCCAAGGACAAGCAGGTACTCCAATTTAAATTTTTACTGTCAGTTTGTTTGTAATAACCCCTGTTTAATTCAACTTTTAAAAAAGCACAGTTTAGTTCTCTGAGCCTTGTGTAGGATGCCGCCAGAATCACACTCGGTTTGTTCGGGTCCTTCCGGCAGCCCAGCGGTTTCCAGCTGCTGCCTTTGTGGGTTAACCCAGCTCCCCTAATAGCAGATACGGGTACTCAGATGGCGCAGCACCCTATCCCACACGACTCAGTAATATACCTGGGTCCCTGGGGTCCTCTGTCAGTGGGTTACAGACACAGACTGGTTTTACTCCAGGTTCTGTTGGCTGCTGAATGTGTCTTTCCCGTTTCAATATGGTATCTTGGGCAGATAACACAAACGTCTGGGATGTTTTCAGTTGCTGATGATCACCCATCCAGTCCAGCTCAAAGCTTTTCCTGTCCAGTGTCTGTAATCTGCTCCTTGTTGGTCTCAGCTGCCTCCCTGGCTCCCAGGGGCTGGGATTCCCTTGTCAGAGGTGTTGACACACTTCTCTCTCTTGTGACACTTGTGTGGGCTCCCCAGTGGGCACCGCAGGGCTCCCACTGCCCAGACCCTGAGGCAAAAGCAGTCTCCTCACCCTACCCGGACAGCCAGCATTTTCACACATCACTTAGCCTCTTCCTGTGGGGTCCCCCTGCCCAACGCACACTTGTTGTGAAGATAGCTTTTGTGAAGGTCACTGGACTCACGGGAAACTCACGTATATTTGTCACAGTGAATGGTGGGCATTCAGGCCACTCCATTCCAGACCGTCTGTGCTCTTTATGGCACTCCAGTTCCTTTATCCAGAGTGTTCCAGTGGGATTGGCGCCAGGTGCCAAGTGGTGATCAGCCCAATAACGCACCATTTATTGACCTTTCCTCCTCCACACTCCCTCACTCTTAGTTTTGTGGGAACCACTTCTCCAAATAACAGCCCAAAGTCAGATCCTTGCCTCAGACTTTGTCGTTAAGGGAACCCAACCTGAGGCACGTGGCCATGTTGGGGAGTCAGATGTCAGGCTACCTCCCGGCAGAGCACTCCCCGTCTTTATGAGCGAGGGTAGTGGATTTCCTGATTTTCATTTGGTTTAGTGGACAGGTATTCCCTCTTTGCCCCCGATGTGGGACTGTGGGGAGGGGCAGAAAAAGCATCTCTCATGGAGACGACCTTTCCTGCACGGCCAGTGGCTGTACCCTGAGACTGGCAGTTGATCGTGGTGGCATGGCTTGTGCAGCTCCTGGGGTACACTGTAGGGGCACCCCACCCCACTGTGACAGGTTTAGAGTGGGGGACAGTCAGGCCTGTGTCCTTCTTCAGCTTCTATTTCTGGGGCAACCAGAAGGTTTCCCTTCAATATCCCGTCACAGCTGCGACCAGAAGAGAACAGAGAGGCATCTGCCCTTGCTGCAGTCAAAAGACAGCTCATTTTTCCTTCCTCCTAAGAGGAGAGCTTTGCTTACTTTCACACATATGTATACTTATTTCTCTGTGTTTCCCCATCGGACCTTTGCCAACATAATATGAGTATGTATGTGGAAATTGGTCATATTTACAAGCCAAATTGTGTGTCTGTGCACATGTGTGCAAAATGCCCTTTATCAAAGGCCTTTTTCCAATGGATACCTTAAAACATAAG